AGGAAAAGAAGGCCAAATTTGTATTTCTAGAATTCCATTCAAAGGAACTGAAATGAGGAAGGAGATGGAGGGTTAGGCCTGGAGTCAAGGGAGAAGTGGTGATAGTGGAGAGGTGAGAGAGATCTTGGTAAAGGGGAGTGAGGAGGGGACCAGGAAAGGGAACAGAGGTAGTTGGGGGCTGGCTGACCCCCTCATTTTTATAGCTCACGTACATAAATGTTTAGAAGTTATAAATCAAGCTAACCAATGGTTAATAAAATAGTTGTATCCTCCAGTTTTTTGGGGGGATACCCTCATAATGACCTGGAAGGCTAGATTTGAATGTAGAATTATCAAAGTCTTCAGAGATACTTGCCAAGATATTGTGGCCCACTGAGGCTCAGGTCTCCCTGTGCTTTCCGCCCTGCTCCCTCCTGCACCATGAGGGGTCGCAGGTGCACACAGGCAGATGCCCTGCCTCATGCACAAGCTCAGTCACATCCTCCACACCCCAACTCCCTGACAAACAGGTGCCTCTAGGCCACCCATTGGGCCTCGGGGTATATATTCTGGCCACTTGGTTCTTCCTTGGGGGTTTGAACTCAAGGAAAAGGCCCACAAAGTCTTTAAAAGTGGACTTGGGTGCAGTATGCAAGAAGGGGGGGCGGTTCATAAGAGTTCTAAGTATGCACGTCCCCTTGGTTCCATGGCCTCCCTACTTTGTGGAGGGAGATATGGCTAGAGGAGGGCCAGAGTGAGGCTCTTGAAAATATAGACGTCCCTCTTGCCCAGGTCCAAGGCTAATACTAAGTGGTAGAACTGTCCAGTCTCCCCACAAAGAACATGTTTAAATGTAGCAGATAAAGGGAATTCTCTGGTGGTCCAGTGGTTAGGACTTGGCGCTTTCACTCCATGGGGCCCGGGTTCTATCCCTGGTTGGGGAAGTGAGGTCCCACAAGCTGTGTGGCGTGACCAAAAAAAAAAAAAAAAAAAAAAAAAGGTAGTAGGTAAACAGCCAAGCTGTGGCCTTGGAGGTTGAAAGAGCGCAGGTCCACACTTGTCGAGGAAGTTTCAGAGTCACTTGTCTTTGGCTGGACTCTACTGGGTTGGACCATAGGCATCCTGCAGTCACCAGTATAGCCTGAAGACCAGAGGCCTTTCCTTCTCTCCATTTTCTAGGCACCAAGAAAGATTCCAGTTGACCCAGGGCCTGAGATAGGACCCAGAAGGAGGGCAGAGAGAATTTCTCAATCTCTCTGGCTAGTGGGGAGCTCAGAGTCATAGTTAATTTGATTTAGAAAAATAAAATCATGTGGCATGTCCTGTACTCCAGCCTAGTGTGATACATGCATTGATAATAACAAATACATAAACCACATTAGCCGATTTCTGAGTCCTTACGGTGTTCTCTTACGCCTGCAGCCTGCTCTGTGTATGTGCTTCCCTGTGGGGAGTAGTGTGGTATGTTATCAATTTCTTGAAGGCAGGAAGTGGCTTATTTCTCACTGAGTTCCTAGCTGAATCCATCACAGTGCCATGCACACATCAGACATTCACGAACTCATTTGTTGAGATGAATAGAATGTTTCAGAAATCAAGTTAAAAATGAGTGGTTAAGCAGTATGGTATTGGCACAAAAACGGAAATATAGATCAATGCCACAGGATAGAAAGCCCAGAGATAAACCCATGCACCTATGGTCAATTAATCTATGACAAAGGAGGCAAGAATATACAATGGAGAAAAGACAGCCTCTTCAATAAGTGGTGCTGGGAAAACCGGACAGCTTCATGTACAAGAATGGAATTAGAACATTCTCTAACACCATACACAAAAATAAAACTCAAAATGGATCAAAGACCTAAATGTAAGGGCAGACACCATAAAATTCTTAGAGGAAAACATAGGCAGAATACTCTTTGACATACATGGCAGTAATATCATCTTTGACCCACCTCCTGGAGTAATAAAATTAAAAACAAAAATAAACAAATGGGACCTAATTAAACTTAAAAGCTTCTGCACAGTAAAGGAAACCATAAACAAAATGAAAGACAACACACAGAATGGGGGAAAATATTTGCAAATGAAGTGACAAACAAGGGATTAATCTCCAAAATATACAAACAGCTTATGCATCTCAATATCAACAAAAAAACAACCCAATAAAAAAATGGGCAGAAGATCTAAATAGACATTTCTCCAAAGAAGACAGATGTCCAAAAAGCACATGAAATGATGCTCAACATCGCTAATTATCAGAGAAATGCAAATCCAAACTACAAGGAGGTATCACCAGATACCTGAATGGCCATCATCAAAAAGTCTATAAACAATAAATGCTGGAGAAGGTGTGGAGAAAAGGGAACCCTGGGAACCCTCCTATACTGTTGGTAGGAATGTAAATTGGTCCAACCACTATGGAGAACAGTATGGAAGTTCCTTTAAAAACTAAAAATAGAACTACCGTATGATCCAGCAATCCCACTCCTGAGCGCATATCTGGAGAAAACCGTGGTTTGAAAGGATACGTGCACCCCAATGTTCATTGCAGCACTATCTGCAATAGCCAAGACATGGAAGCAACCTAAATGTCCATCAACAGAGGAATGGATACAGAAGATGTGGTACACATATACAATGGAATATTACTCAGCCATAAAAAAGAATGAAATAATGCCATTTGCAGCAACACGGATGGACCTAGAGATGATCATACTAAGTGAAGTAAGTCAGACAGAGAAAGACAAGTAACATATGGTATCACTCACATGTGGAACCTAATTTTTAAAAAGTGATACAAATGAACTTATTTACAAAACAGAAACAGACTTAACAGATATCAAAACCAAACCTATGGTTACCAAAGGGGAAACATCAGGAGATCAGGATTAACATACACACGCTACTATATATAAGATAGATAACCAGCAAGGACCTACTGTATAGCACAGGGAATTCTATTCAATATTCTGTGATAACCTATATGAGAAAAGAATCTGAAAAAGAATGAATATATGTATATGTATAACTGAATCACTTTGCTGTACACCTGAAACTAACACAACATTGTAAATCAACTATACTCCAATAAAATTTTTAAAAAATAAAAATAAAAGTGAGTGGGTTAAGGATGTATTGCCTTATTCCAATGTTTCTTGGAACTAGTAGGGTTTTTTTCTATTTCTATATTAATCTAGATGAAAACATTCATTAAGCCTTCTTTTAAAGTGAGTAAATAGTGTAATGCTTAAAAAAATTTTTTAATGTTGTATGTTTAGTTCCCCAAAAGAATTTTTGGTAAATCCTGTGATATAATGTTTTTCTTTAATAGAATGAAATTTAAACAAAATTAGAACAAAATTATAGGAAAGCTAATAGCAATGACAGCTTCTGATATTTTTTGTTCTTTGCAGTTTCAAAATAGACTTTTCCTTCCTCATGGGAACTTTACAGTAAGTACCCTTAATATGAGGAGACACCATATGTAGAAAAATAACATTACCTAGCATACAATACAGTTAGAGAGGATAACTCATGACTGGGGAAACAATATTTTGTAAAAATGCTCTATAGTTGCATTTACGCAATGTTTATAAAAAGCATAACAAATTGCCCATGACTTGGCAAAACCGGTCAATGAGTATTTGAGTTAAGCAACCAGCCCACAGCTGCAGTGAGGCCCTGACCCAGCAGCGAGCTGCAGGGACCACGCCGACAAGTTGGGCCACACTCGTGTGTGTTTGCTTTGCACGTGGACATACGGTCTTCACGTCTTTATAGATTAGCCAGATTTCTCTTATGTAAAATATCTCAGCCAGTAATGTGTAAATAGGTTTCCCGATTAACATGGGTATTACATAGGAATTGCACACATTATTATTTTGAAGGTAACTGAGAACATGGGGTGATAGCCAATATTCTTAACAGCCATAAGGCAAGATCACCGACCAAACAAAACAGAAAAAGAGGCAGCCACCAGAGTTTGGACGAGAACTCAAGTTTTCCCTTGCTTTTCTCCAAAGTACTGCAACTACCTGGATCATTCACTCCTTCCCTTTATGAGCCCCACAACTACTACCCAGGTTCCTGGCTATCATCACATCTTCCCAGCTCTGATCTGGAAAGAAAGCAGAGCAGAAACTTTAAGATGCTGTCCCAGGACGCTGTGGGTCTCCCTGTAGGTCAGGATGTATTTAGCTCCTAGAACAAAAGGCCAAAAGAACAAAAGGGAGGGAGGCGAGGGAGAAAACAATAATGGTACGGTACTTGACTCCCCCTTCTACTCCACTTCCCTAACGGAGACTTTCTCTGTAACATCAGGAAGAGTGAAGGATGTTGCTAAAAAGATGACAGGCTTGCACGAACGTTTCTCAGTTTCTAGATTTGGGGAAAGGTTTTCATCAGTTTGAATGGAGGCCATCAGCAAACTCTAAATCTGTAACTGCTCTGTAGTCTGCAACAGCTCTCCATCACTGTGACTAGCTGTCTTGGCAGGAACTCTGGTGGATTTGGCCAGGATGCTATGCCAGAGACGTGATTTGGGTCAGGCCTGAGTTTGGTAGCATCTTGGCTCCCAAGATCCTTTCTGGCTGATCATGCAAACCCGAAACACATAAACGAATACTGTGTCATTTCATCATAAACACTTCAGATTTATTGTACCAGATTGAATACATTTTCCCTTCTGTTGAGAAAACTTGTCTGAAAGACTTTAAAAAGTCTTGTAATGACTTTAAATGGGGAAAAGGGCACAGATCCCCTGGTGTTAAGTAGGGTTGTATGAAATAAACAACTCTTCTTTGCTTAGAAAAATCTCTTAGATCAAAAGAAAGATGTGTTTTTAAGATTCTATTACGGTGTATTGTACCGTTTTTTTACTCTAGGGGAAAACAAAGCATTTAGAGCCTACTATTTTAAATTAAAATAAATGCTTTTGCTTATTCTATAGCTTGCTTTTTTTGGAAAGTACAGTGACCAAGCACAGACAACAATGACCAAAATGCTAACTTCAAATGAGATTTTGTTTGCAATTTTTAATTAAGCAATCTGTGCAAACATCTTTTTTTTTTTTTCAACATCAGGAGGAAAGAAAACAACCACACTTGGGAGCCTGGGAGCAAAACAGAAAATGCTTTCTCATTGCAACCCGATTTCAAAGCAGTGGTGAGCAGAGCGGCAGTGCCCAGGCCCTTAGTATTCCTCAGGATTGCTTGAGTGCAATTCTCGCAAGTATGAATCAATTACGCTAGGAGGCACACCTTGCAAGAGGAGCCTGCAGAAGGAAAGACCACCTAGAAAGGACGAGAAGGAAAAGGCAAAGTCAAAACCGTCTACACGTGAAAAATCTCTGAAACAAGACTTCTTGACTAGCTGCCTGGAAACGTGACTAATTATGTTCCAGTTAGTTACAAAGATTCACTCAGTCCCTACTTGGAAAGCTTCTCCTGGGTTTAGCACCTTTAGAATCTAAAACATTTGGCATCTAGAAGGAAAAGCAAGTTCCCTGCAGACCCACAGCAGTTTTTTGTTCCCTACTATTATTCGTTCTCAAATTCCTCACTAGTTGGAGAGCGTTTATTGCTCTTTTCGAGGTTTTGATTGCTCTTTTCGAGGTTCCTCTATAGATGATTTAAGTGTTCTGAATGAATGGCAGAATAAATGCAAATCATGTTACAAATCAGTGGGAAGAACTGTTTCCAGTTTGTTAATGTTCCTTTCAATTAAGCACAAAGAGTTCCCATTCAAGCACATGGGAGAAGAAAAAAGGAACTACTCCTTTAACTTTGGCTATTCATACACTGTCAAAAGTGCAAAACTTGGAAATATTTTGTTAAAAATAGTAAAACCTGTCCAATGCCTTCTGAAGGTGAGAGAAACACCTACTAATATTTCATACTTACCCTCCATGGTTCTGAATTATATTTAAAAAATAAAAGTACCCTTCACGAGAGAACCCACGAAACCATAAAAATGGTCCTTTAGAGAAGTGTTTTACTACTTGCTAATAAATTCACGTCCAGACAAAAACAGCATGCCATTTGAACATTCTTAAAACTTCTTTAATGCAATTTGGGAAAGTCATTCTCCTTTTTTTAAAAAAAAGTCACATATTGGTAGAAATGATGCCACTTATGTACATGTCCATTCCTTGATGCAAAGAGCTCAGAATGCTTGGGTATCACTCATTTTCATCTACATTAAATGCTTTAATTCATGCTCTACTGCATTCAACAACTTGCTTCATGTCAACAGAAGATTGTTGTGATGAATAAGTACTAGCTGTTAATGGCAAGATACTGAAATACACATTAAAACTACAATGTTAGGGAGTTTAAGTAGTCTATTTTCATTGGGTTGCATAATGAAAATCATGCCATACTCCACAGGCTTGGTATGGCTTATGACAGTCATAAGCTTCATATGCCAAAACCATATGAAAGCTTACCTTAGATGATAATATACATTCAAAAATCCTTACTGTGCTACAACTAAGGAAAAGAGAGAGAGAGAGAGAGAGAGAGAGAGAGAGAGAGAGAGAGAGAGAGA